CCTCAGTCCGTCTGACAGCGCCCTGTGTTTCCACGAGTGTGTGTTTGTATGACTAAATGTGTCCTGGCATTTAGAGGCTGATGAAAAGGTTGATACCGCCACGCTGCTCTGCTCTGACTGAATCGTGTCGGGGCGGTGTCGACGCTCGGGGCGACGTCCCCTCCACCCTCCATGCATCTGTTTCTACCCCTGCTCTGCTTCTCGGCCGTGGTGAGCGTTTCATAATTGCTTTTCCCGCCACATCCCCTCCACTTTACAACATGTGATGGTAATATCAGCAAACTCTCAGAGATTGTGCCATTTAGCTTTAGACCTAAACGCTCAGGGAGGGAGGGGGTGGGGGGGGGGGGTGTTTTCTCTCCTCCTTTTTTTTTAACATCAAACTGTGTCTGGGTTTATTTCAGTAAACGCTCCTCAGCCATTCACAGGCCGATTATCGCCGCTTGTTGCAGCGACTGATGATCTTACCAGGTAAGCAGCTCCTATTAGAGGAAGCTTCATTTAGTGCAGTGTTACACTCCAGCTGCCCCCCCCCCACCACTCCACCCCAACCACCACTACACCTTCACCCCCTCCCCCTCCTCCTTTCCCCCGGCCCATAATGGATGATCGCAGTGCTCGGCTTGCATGCAGGAAAGGTTTAATTAAATCATAGTCCAATCATAATCCATGTTGTTAATTAAACTGGATAATTTATAAGTACAAAAGAGGGTATTTATTAGCTGCTCTGCGGTGGTGGCAGCGCTGTAACGTGCACGCTCCCCGTGCACGGACACATACACTTATACACCCCCCTGCCCCCTCCTCTGCCTTACAACCTTTTACTATTGATGCCCCCGCATGATTGATAATGAGACAGAGACTGCTGTACTATTTGTCTAATGGCCGTGCAATTAAATTCCCTTGTAAATGACCCATGCCTCATTTCATCCTAATCTATGGAATTTTGATTGAATTTGTCAGCCCTAATTGAAAAATACTGCTATTTAATGTCTGCATTGCAGTTGCAGATCAGGCCGCCTTTAATGAGATCGTGTCCCAGTGACCCTGAGGAGGAGGGGGGGGGGCTCGGTCGGGGGTCGTCGGGGGGGGGGGGTATCCGTGCATGCTTTGACTCAGCCCAGGAGGATGGAATGTAGGGGGGGGTCCGGTGGGAGATCCGATGAGGGTCAGAGGTCACCCGTGTCCTCCTCTCTTCCTGTGATGTGTTTGCGACGCCGGTGGCATCGACGAGGTTTGCATTAATTGATGAGGAAGCCATTACAGGATTCATTAAAACGAGTTTGATGCCGACGCAGGAGCAAATATTGTGATTTAAAGCTCTGCGACTTCACAGCTCCTCACCAGGAGCTGAGGACGAGACGCGCGTTTGCTTTACACACGCGCGAGAATCAAGTCAGGATGTTGATGATGGAATTAAAGGATTTCTGTGCAGATGCAGATGTGACTGTTTGTCACATGGTTACGGTTCACACCTTCACCAATAAGAAATCTCTAAAAAAAAAAGACTGATTCACATTAAATTTGTTGGATTTAAATCTGAAATCTTTAAAAACAAGGACTTCTAGGTCAGATACATGGAGCGGTTCTGTCAGATGTTCAGACCGGATCAAGTACTGGATCTCACTACAAGGCGGGGGGGGGCTGTAGAGAACTGGACCTCTACTGGTGTTGGAATTTAAGTTCTGACGCTGAGTCTCTATGAAACAGGATGAAATGTCAGTTCATTGGTTCTTTTTGGACGTAAAGTCTGTTTGATTAGTTCTGTGGACAGGAGTGAAGATATATTTACTTCTGCTCTCGTGTCTGTGGTAATTATTCATTCATCTCCTGGTACCTGCTCAGTCTGGGGCAGAAAATAAAACTGATTTCATGTATTTTTTTAGATCAAAATCCTGTTTGATTTCAGCTGATGAAAACTTTCAGAGATCGTGGTTAGATTTTATTTGTTCATTTCACCCACCTCCTGGCCTCAGCTGGGGGAGGAGGGTGTGTGGGTGAGGGAGGGGGTGTGGGTGAGGGAGGGGGTGTGTGGGTGAGGGAGGGGGGTGTGGGGAGGAGGGGTGGTGTGGGTGAGGGAGGGGGGTGTGGGTGAGGAGGG